AGAGAGTATGCATTCTTTTCACACTACCCAATGGGTCCAAGTTACATCCCAATTCTTTTCCTTCCAATTCTCCACCCTGCCAGGATCCTGAGCACAGATAAGCATGACCAATGTGCTTTCAAACAGCTGGGGCGGGACTCAAATCCTGGTCTACCATAAGCCTGTGGTTGAAAAAAAAAAAAAAAAAAAAAAAAAGAGGACGACCCTGGTTGATCATGTGGGATACAGTTTCCTCTGCACAGCACTTAACCACTGTGCTATGAAGCCAGCTCTAAAATATCAGAGCATTTTAAAAATCTAAAACAGGATAGATAACATTGAAGGCTAAATGTATGCATTCCCTAACCCTCTCTGCCCATCCTTTTAACATGTACCTATAAAAATTCATTCAGCTCTCACCTTTCCCATGCACACTGTGCCACTACTACATGTTCACATATTAGTAAACACTATGTGCTATTGTTTTGCATGCCTTCAGACTTTATTTAGGTTGTACCATACTGTACTTAATTCTGCCATTTGCTTTTTCCTTCACCATGAAGGTTTTGAGATTTATCAATGTTAAACTATTGGCTTTATGTAGATTGTTCATTTTAATGAAAACATTAACAATTTAGACCACTACCCTGCATGCAAACTTTTATACATTATGAGTGCTCAGTTGACATTTCTGTCCTAAACTGTTTACATTAAAATGAAAAGAAAATCAGAGGTAAAACAAGCTTTAAGAAAAATCAAAGAACATTTGTATATAAAATCACATAACTTTGAAAAATCTTCTGTACTAGTGAAAATGTAATGGAGAGATTCTAACTTCATCTCCATAACTGAATTTATGACTTATCATGATTTCTTGAAATTATTATATCAAATGTTGTTAGATTCTGGTACCACCTAGAACAGCTTCCTCAATCCAAGCAGTTTAAACATGAGAAAAAGTTGCAGAAATTATTGGGTCACTGGAAAATCATGACACATTTTTTGCATAGAAAAATGACTTAAGAGAAACACGAGATGAAAGAATTCCAAAAAGTTGAGCTCAGAACAGGAATACTCAGAGCCATGCTGGGTATAAAATCTCATTCCACATACAGGGGGAGAAATCAAAATCAATCTGGTGGTGTTATTGATGAAAAGTCTTGATAAAATAAATCAAAATTTTGTGTCATTTAAAACCCTTGATGCTAAAACGACATAACACAGGACCTTGCACAAAGGAGAAAGTGAAATTTCCAAAGGATGTTTAGTAATGGTGTATCCTGAATTTCAGCTCTAGAATGAAAGGGGAAGACACAGGCAGAGCGCAGGGACCTAAGGGCACTGCAGAACAGCCAGCTAGGGGGCAAGGGAGTGCAGTCCAGTCCTACTCAGCGTTCTCACTATTGTACTTCTATTTAGGTCTTCAGTCAAGCTGGGACGTTCTTGACAAATGAAAGCATAAAGAAAATAAAACAGAAAAAGAAAAGATTGTCCAGATCAGAGCTTTCTATGGTGGAAATAAGATATAGAAGTTTTTTTGTTTTGCTGTTGTTTCCCTTCTGCTTTTGGTTTCAATATGTATGGAAATAGTGTTGCTTTAGAGTCTTAAGGCTCTAGATTTGAAATTCAGTTCTATTATGTACATATACTAGCCACATAGCCTTGGGCAATGCAGTCTGTATTTTGAGCCTCAGTTTCTTCATCTAAAAGGGACTCCCACTCAAAAGTTGTACTGTAGGGACCAACAGATGGGATAATGGTTACATCACTAGACTCCCACATAGTGGGACCGTGGTTAGAGTCTTGATCCGGAGGCTTAAAACTCACTCTGGGCATAGGGACCAGCAGATGGTGTAATGGCTACGTTGCTGAACTCCCATGTAGTCCACTGTGGTTCCAGCCCCAGATCTGGTGGCTTAAACTCAAGCTGGGAGTGTGTGCATGTGCCCAAGATACCAAGAGGAGAATGAAGGAAAAGGGGCTGCGGAGTGGCCACTCCCCCTGGGGGGGTGATTTCTCCCTTTCTGTCTCTCTGTCTTTCTGGCAAGTGCACATGCCCTATAGCAAAAACCTCCCCCCAAATTTAATCTGACTCTGGGCGCAAGTGTATGCGTGCCCAAAATCCTGAAAGCAGACTGGATGAGAAAGGATTATGGCATAGTCCTTCTCCCTGGGGGGAAGGGATGCTTTCTGTCTCTCTGTGTCTGTCTGTCTCTCTGGTGAGCACACATGCCCTATACCAAAAATCTCTCTTAAAGTAAAAACAAAAAAGTTGTATATATGGCAAATACCAAGCACAGAACTTGGCAAATAATTCTCATTAACAAGAGGATACCATAATTTCTTTCCAATGTTTTTTTAAATATGAATTATTTATTTAATTTTATTTGTTATTATTATTATTTGTAAATTTGTTACAGGGCACATGCACTCACTAGTGAGAGAGACAGAGAGAAGGTGATAGAGGGAAACTGAGAAGACAAGCCGCCAGGTCCGAGACTCAAGTCGCAGTCAGCTATGTGGGAGTCCAGCACCTTAAACACCATGCCACCGGCTGGCCTCTCCAATTTCTTATTCATGAAAATATGCTCCACTCTATAATTCTACAATATCTTTAATATATTTATTTGTAGGACTCACTGTAAAAACAAGTTGTTACCCTCAAATAATTCAGTCAGGATAATCATTTAAACAAAACATTAATATCAACTATTGGCTGTCATTCATTCAACACATAGTTTTTGATCATTAACTGTACAAAGTGCACTTAAACCCAGAGAACACAGTACAAAGAGAAAAATGCTGCACCCAGCTCTTGCGTGCTTTCTGCACTCACTTTCAAGAGCTCACACACACACACACACGCTTAGCTCTCTCTCTACTTTCATTATCTTCCAACTTTCTATTTATTTCTTTCAAATCCCTGCATCTCTCTGCCCACCAAGAGACATTACCATTAACTTTCAAAACTGTAGCAACAATGAAAGCAAAACACTCTAAAATAGAATGTATGTCATGAATCTAACCTATATACCTCCCCCTACATTTTGGTATTGGCTAAACTGGGAGAAAAGAAGAAAGGAAGGAGACTCATCCTTAATACTGGGTTTAGAAGGATCCACCTTCTTTGTCTCACACCTACTGCCTCATCCTACACTTCTTAAAGAGATGGGGCATGACCTTGACAGCACTGTCTTCCATTTGTGCTGCTTTAGATCTTATTCCCCATGAGGCCTTTGCCATTATGATTGACCAGACAGTAATCTGCACTCACTGCCTTCGAATTAATTACTCACAGGATCTTCATCTGCTTTATAATACAGGAGGTAAATCAACAAGAATTATAAAAAGAAGAAAATAACATGACACATTAGTAGTAATTATGGTGATTCTTAAGCCCCTGTAAATAACTGATTTCTTCTAAAATGCACAAGTGTTTCATGTCCATTAACATCATGATTTTCATAATAGGTAGAGAAGCAACAGTGATTAAAATTGTTATTTGTTGCAGAAGTAAAAGCCACTTTATAAATGAGAACACAACACGAGACTTGGCCAGTGTCATGTAGAAGCACAATTAGAACCAAAGTCCTAAAGTACCTTAAATGTTGTTAGCTGATTTTTTCCCCCTTACTTTACAATCCTTTTCATCTTGTCTTTGAAATGCTGGCATAGACTACGCTTAATCTCTTAGAAATAAACTTTACAATAATGATAGAGTGACGGATTGAGCTAGAAATGTAAAACTGAATCAGAAGGTGAGATCATGTACTTTATGATTAAGATAGCTCATTAAAATTTGAAATTTTTTAAATGCCCATAAGTCAGGAGAGTCAGAAATACAAGGGACATGATTCTATTAGGAGAACTAAAAACATCCTCATCTGTAAAATGGAGATAATACTGCCTCTAATAGCATCCTTGTGAGAAATAACTCCAACAGCATAGAAAAAAACCTTTCAAAGCAAGTCTAGAATACAGTAAACTGTATTATTTCATCTAAAACATTTGTGGTCTTGGACCAGCAGAGGGCAATGATTATATCACTGGACTCTCATGTAGTCAACTACAGTTCAAGTCCCAGGCCCTGCAGCTTAAAACTCACACCTGGCATGTGTGTGTGCATGCCCAAAATTCCAAGGGGAGACTAGAGGAAAAGGGACTGCGGTGTGGCTATCCCCCAGGGCAATGATTTCTCACTGTCTGTCTCTCTGTATGTCTCTGCCTCTCTGGCAAGGACACATGCCCTATAGCAAAAATCTCTGTTTAAAAAAAAAATTATGGTCTCACAATGGACAGTGCAGGTTTTTTATTAAAAATTAAACCATGCTTCGAATAGGACTATTTATGAAATATAAACTTTTAAATACTAGAATATTTTGCTTTTATTTTTTACTTAAAAAAATATATATATTTATTAGGACCAGCAGATGATACAATGGTTATGTCACTGAACTCCCACATAGTCGACTGTGGTTCAAGTCCTGGATCTGGTGGCTTAAATCTCATGCTGGGCACATGTCTGTGTTTGCCTAAAATCGCAAGAGGGAAATGGAGGGAGATTGTGGCATGGCTATCCCTCATGAGGGGTGATTTCTTGCTTTCTCTCTCTCTCTGTCTCTCTCTGTCTTTCTGGTGAGTGCATGTGCCCTATAGCCAAAAAACAAACAAACAAACAAACAACAAAAATAAAACCTCTCCAAAAAATAAATAAATAAAAAGAATATTTGAGCCTCTGCTGAGAATATATATATAAAATTGTTATTTTTAATTTTGCTACAGGGCACATGCACTCACCAGAGAGAGTGAGTGAGAAGAGAGACAGCAATCTGTCAGATCTGGGACTCGAATAGCAGTTTTCAATGTGGGAGTCCAGTTCCTTAACCACACCACCTACTGCCCCCTGGTTTTACTTTTTACCTCTGGAAGGTTGACTATCATACTTCAAATACTTAGAAAATACAAAACTAGAAATTTTTCCTCTGTAATTTTTTTCTAGGTGATGCTTGAATACATTCAGTTTAAATGGAAATCAAAGGGATGGGGAACACATTAGAAGTGTATTTTTATCAAAAAAAATTTTTTTCGAGAGAGAGGTCTTTGCTATAGGGGGTGTGTGCTCACCAGAAAGACAGAGAGACAGAGAGACAGGAAGCAAGAAACCATCCCCTGGGGGGACGGCCACGCCACAATCCCTTCTTCTCCATTCTCCTCCCAGGATCTTGGGCACCCATGCACCAGGCATGAATTTAAGCCACCGGGTCTGGGACTCAAACCTCGGTCGACTACATGGGAGTCCAGCGCCCCAGCCATTACGCCAACTGCAGGTCCCTACAAGTGTATTTTAACACAGAATAAATAGATCAATTCACAAGCCAGAGCAAAGGTGCATTATGGGACAAGAGTCAATGTAAAATAAATACAATTTTTTGGCAACAAATTTTAAAAATGAAAACTTGAAAAGACAATCAGTCAGTCATTACAAAATGTGTGCTACTGTTGATTAAGGATTCATGTAAACATATGGTTTATTATTCTTAACCCAGAAACTTAAAAACTAAAAATAAAATAAAAGCAACCAGAGAAAGTCTCCTCCTGGCCCTGTGATCTTGTTATTTTAATTCACTGATCAGGATTTCAGTGCCCACTTCCGATCAAGGAGGAAGGAGAGGGAGTTCATAGAGAATTTTGAACCTCTCCAGCTCTCTGATGATCAGCTCCCATGGGGAGTCACAAGGCTTCAGCGGGACCTCACACTGAGGACAAGCAGTCCAAACTTTAGCCTTAATGGCTCAATTATTAACACAGTTTTCCTGGTCACTGAGTCTCCTCTATTACCTACAGAATGGCCCAACCAAGTGTTAACAGGCTATTTTATGATTTTTTTTTCTTTTTACGATTATCTTAGGGGGGCACAGGATCAATAAAACTGCACATTTCACTCCAAAAGTAAGACTGCAACCCTGATGACAACGCTGAAGCTCTAGGAAACCCGCAGTTGCAGGGACAGCTGG